TTCCCATTTTTAAAAATACATTTGATAGAGAAATGAAAGAAAAAAACCCCAAAACATTAAGAGAGATAACAGATCTGGTTAGAATCTTTGTGAAGATTCACTGGTAAATAGCAAGGCATACATGTGATTGTAAGAACTATAATGCTTGAAAAAAGAACAAAAGTGCAAATATGAAGGCAAACTTAAATTCACCTACTTCAACCATTCATAGTGATAAAAAGATCTTTTTAAACTCTAAAAGAACCCCACACTTTTTTTTTTTTTTAATAATGAATGCTCCCTATCTACTGAGTCATATAAATTGGCTTAGATTTTTAGTGATTTCCTACTGAACCAGTGAGCTGATAGAAGTGTTACTGTTAACTGAGGAAATAAAAATGATTCAAGAGGTCTTGGACACCCTTGTGCACAGCAAGAGGAAACAAACAGGCTTTAGCAATAAGCAGAGGCCACACATACACAGTAGAATACATATATAGTGTATATATACACATATACACAAGCTTTCTTTCTTTCCCTTTTGTTCATATCTCCCACAGTCTGGATTCCTTCTTCCTTGTCACTGAGCATAGAAATGACATATTCAGTGGCATATCCAGCATCACTGAACAATCTCTGTCCTGAGTGGCAATGACTAACCTGGGACTGTCATGCCAAGTATAAACCAAGGGCTTTTCCCCTTGTGCTCTTGGCCTTGTATTTAGTGGCAATGATTCTTCTCTGATCAGCCGGCTGCTGACTACTGTGAGATCCTTCCCAATGAACAAGGTGAAACTTCCAGCAAAATGTGTCATGTCACAATTTACTAAAGTTCCACATCATCTCTGACTTCTCTGAATAATGCACAGCTGAACTCAATGCTTATAAAGGGTTTTCCCTCCCTATTAGTGTATGATTGTTTTAGATCCTGCCCTGAGGAGTTTTATAAGTTTTCAGAAGTATGAGGCATATACCAACAAAACCATTACAAAATCTGGACATATACCAACTCTTCAAAGAATTCTTCAGCAAAGGATTCTGGCTACTGCTGTAAAAGACAATAGAATGTTTCTATAAACACATTAGCAGTAAGAAGCTAATCTCCATCCTTTATTGGATGCAAGAAGGAAGATTGTGACAAAGGATCAGGAAAACACTGAGATTCTCAGTGCTTTCTTTGCCTCAGTTGTTAATAGCAAGACCAGGTGTTCACAGGGTACCCAGACACCTGAGCTGCAAGACAGGCACAGGGGGGGAAATGAAAGCCCCATAAACCAAGGGAAAATGGTCAGCAACCTTTTGCACCACATAAACACACACAAGGGTACTGAGGAAGCTGATGGAAGAGCTCACCAAACCACTTTCAATCATTTATCAGCAGTTCTGGCTCACCAGGCAGGTCCCAGACAAGCAGAGGTTGGAAAATGGTCTGTCAGTCTACAAGACAGGGCAGAAGGAGGATCTGGGGCATTACAGGACGCTCAGCCTGACCTCAGTGCCAGGGAAGATTATGGAGCAGAAGCTGGTGAGTGCCATGACACGGCATGCAGAGAACAACTGGGTGATCAGGCCCAGCCAGCACAGGTTTATGAAAGGCAGGTGCTATTTGTACTGACCTGACCTCCTTCTCTGACAAGGTGGCTGTCTTGGATGAGGAATGGCCGTGGATGTTGTGTACCTGGACTTTAGTAAAGGCTTTGATACTCCAAAGCATCAAGTCAAAACAACCACTACAGACTCTGGGGACAGAGTGCACAGAGTGGCTGGGAAGCTGCCTGGTGGTAAGGGACCTGGGGGTGCCATTTGACAGCAGCTGAACATGAGCCAGCTGTGCCCAGCTGTGGCCAGGAAGGCCAATGGCATCCTGGCCTGTGCCAGCAGTAGTGTGGCCAGCAGGAGCAGGGCAGGGATTGTCCCCCTGTACCCAGCACTGGTGAGGTCACACCTCAAATCCTGTGTTCACTTCTGGGCCCCTCAAGACAAGAAAGACACTGAGGGGCTGGAGGGTGTCCAGAGAAGGGCAACAGAGCTGGGGAAGGGTCTAGATAGTCAGTCATATGAAGGGTGGCTGAGGGAGCTGGGGGTGTTTAGCCTGGAGAAAAGAAGACTGAGGGGAGACCTTATCACTCTCTACAACTCCCTAAGAGGAGGAAAGAAGGTGTAGCCAGGTGAGGGTCAGTTTTACACCCCAAGTTACAATTGGTAGAAGAAATATGGCCTCAAGTTGCACTGGGGGTGGGGGGAGGTTAAATGGAGTATTGGGAAATAATTCTTCATGGAAAGGATTGTCAAACATGGAACAGGCCACCCAGGGAAGTGGTTGAGTCACTACCCCTGGTAGTATTTCAAAGATCTGTGGATGTGGCACTCAGGGACAGGGTTGGACTTGACTGTTCTGGATTAAAGGCTAGAGTTGATTTTAAGGGCTAATCTTTCAATCTAGAAGATTCTATGTTTCTATGACAGTCATGTTTATTATTCAATATTTTGTCATACTTATTTCTAGAACTACAAATTCTGCAGTTTCAAAAAACCTGAAGTTGAACTAACTATTCTGCATTTTGGATTCTCACCTGCATCTTTTTGAAAAAATTGAACCTAACATTTGTCACTTCCTCTAAGCGTGATACAGAGACAGTTTAAATGAAAAGCTTAACATTTTTCTTCTTGAGATAGCTGAGAGCTCTTGCAGACATCCTAAGCAATCAGGGTAATTTGTTGTTACTTGCTCTTTGACTACTTTTTTCCCCTCTGAATACTATTCTATTGTTAGTTCAAGTCAGAATAGTTTAAGCTCAGCCACTGTAAAGGAAGCCCTTGTGCAATGGATTGAACTTTTCTGTTTTGCCAGTGCCCCCCTTGAGCACTTTTATACTTTATACATCTGCTGTCCCTCAGGCTCTTTGAAATTATCTCTTTTAAAAAGAATTTGTTATTTTGTGGCATGACTTCTACAAATTTCTTTTCCTCAAAGCTGTCCTTGTCCTTTCTTATTACAGTTTTAATGTTCTGGGATTGTTCTTTTTAGTAAGGAGGCATTCCTTGAGCTGATAATGACTTCCATTTCTGAAATTTTTCTTCTTAATTCTAGTTTAGTTTTCTGTGTATTTTCCCTTTTCAAGTTTGGGTTTTTGGATTTACTTCCAAATACGTTGCTGTACATTTTTACAAGAATGCGAGCTGCAAGATCCGGTTATGTCAGAAAACTATCTGTGAGCTAGGAAAATCTGCAGTGCCTTTAGATTGATGTAGATTACAAATATCTGTAAGAACCTGTAGAAAGTACCCTGTCAAGGTTTGCTATGGATCCAGTGATGTGAGCAAGTTTAGTACATTTAATTTTTAGTTTGGGAAACACTAAATTTATTTTTTCTTTTGCCTTATTTGAGTGCCATAGAGAAGAGTTTTTCTTCACTGTGATTTTAATTTGGAAGTGGGTTCCTCTACAGAAAGTTTCTAAGCAATTTTCATTTTTCCCTGTCTTAATTTATTGAAAGCCAAAAAGGTATGATATAGATGGCCTGTATTTTGTTTATGGAATAACAGGAACTGCAGCTCAAAAATGTGCCAAGACTGACAGCACAGCTATTAGAGAGAGTCAAGAGGGAAGTTTTCAGAAGAGAGATGAGAGACACATGGGAGCTATGCACTCGATAGAGTAGAAGCAGCACACTTTCTAAAGGTGTTGAAATAAACATTTTTGTATGAAATGAATGTTCAGCCTTCCCAAAAGGCTCTCTGCCTAGCAGAGATAACCTACTATTTATTGCTCAGGCTAAAGGCAGAGGGCTTTACTCATTACTGGCATTACTCTGCCAATCTAATGTATATGAGCAGTAAATTAATAATTTACACTCATCAAAAAACTGCTTGAACCATACTTAATTCTTAACTCTGAATTATAGAAGTAAAATAGCAAAATTAGAGACTTTTTAATGTCATGTTTATTAATTCTTGTTGTTCTACCATAGTACATTTGTCTGCATATTTCAAGGCTGTACAAAGACTAGTGTAAGTGCTTAATACATATTAACAGACTAACCCAGTTTAGTCAATTATTTACCCCTCCTGCAACCAGAGATTGGATATATACCAGGAACATAAGTAAAGAAATTAAATAATGATAGATGTTGTAAAAACCAGAAGAAAAAAATAGATAGGAAAATGAACAAGGAAATAAAATAAGCATGAGCTTCGTAAATGTGACTGATTATTGTGTCTCTTAACAGTGAAAACAGCTCTCTATAATATTGTGACTATACTAACCATGAAACAGATGAGGAAAAGAGTACCAATGTTGTATTATGGACAGGCTAGGAACAGAAGGGGTTATATCAAGAGACATGGTAAGTACCACTGATGGGGTATGGGTGTTATTGGTAGGGTGCCTCATCCTACAAAAAATACTGGAATGGCAATTACTACCATGGGCAATCTCCTAGGTACAAACAGGAATGGTACAGACACTGGCACCAGGGGGAGATGGCTTGTGCCTCCTGCTGCCTGGGGACCTCTAGGAGCTACTTTAGGTGCAGGCAGAAGCTAGAAGTAGTCTTCTGGCTGCCCTGAGCTCTATGTTTGATTTACGATGGTTGGCTCCAGAGTGCCGAAGTGCAGAGATCAGATCTATCTATTCTTTTCTTAGGTAAAATTCTTAGAACCTCAAAATTTTGCCCTGGAATGAGTCTGGACTATAGATTTCACAGAAACAGTAGGCAGGGCAGTATACATGTACAGGGGGAAAACACCCCTTCTTTGAGACCCCTTTGCAGCAGCCAAGCTGGGACAACAGCTGACAGGCAAGGGTGTAATAGACCCACTGGACAACAATGGTACTATGCAAGGTAATAAGCATTATGCATGGTAAGGTCTATGCTAGCTATGAACTTCATGTTGGTAGGAGAACGGACACAAATAGTAAGGTGGCATAACTTGTACCTATTTGTCAGTCAACACAAAAAAATTAGGAGAGAAGGCAACCATGGGGAAAGAAGCAGACGTACACAACCCTCTCCACCCACATGCTCCTCATCTTCCCTCCTAGAAGATGTATCTATGCTGTCAGTATCACACAGGCCAATTTTGTCCCAGAACAAACATGCAACTATGACAAATTGATGAAGAGTCTCATCTACAAAAAACAGTGAATAACATCAGTTAAGAGGTGGAGAGCCCCTCTGTAGCCATGCCATACTCATCAGGTCTAATACTTGATTTAAGAGTGGTCATCACCACATACCTAATTTGTACATTAACTTAATCTTTTTTCAGAGGGTTCACAATTTTTCCCATGAAGAGGATAGTGTTCTCTACAGTTATGACCATTAGGAAGGGCCTGTCGAATCTAACAGTAACTGGAACGGACATAGGCACTATTTCCATGCCTGTGGCAGCTGCTGCTTCGGTGCCAGTCTCATCCACCTTTACCACAGCCTTATGAACAGCCTGTGAAGAAACAGACATTTTACAAGTCAAGGGAGTACAAAACTAATCACCTAAATAAGAATGAAAGTTACAAGTACCTGAAGAAGTTACTGGTAAGAAACAAGTGTCAGATGGACAGGTGTGAGTCCACTGCTTAAAGACAGCAAAGTTAGGGGGGAAAAAAAACACCCAGCAAGCTATGTGCAGCACAGCTTCCTAACTCCTGAGAGGAAAAGTTACTCTCCAATGGAGGGGCATCTGTCTGCTAGTGAAAATTGGCAGAGTTTTTGTTTCTTTTCCTATTCCTTGCATCCACTCATGGAGATCTGTACAGCTAGACCAAATGTTAAGAGAAAATGAACATATTTAACTGTATATTAGAAGTTGATATAGTTGAAGAAATAGCATTCAGATTAGCACAATGAATAGAAATCTGAAATTATGCTTCCTATGTTCCTTCCTGTTTTGGGAAAAATGGGAGCAAAGATGAAGGGTCAGAAATGGATGGTTAAAGCACAGAAACATAAATGTTTGACCTTGCAAAATCAAGACACTGACAGATGCTGATTCACTAATGTCCACTTGAAGACATGAGGGCAGTTTTTTCTTTGTTAGACAATTAAGTTTGTCCTGATTGCTGGTTTTAACTCCAGGTTTATTGAAGTATCACCTACCTGTAGCTTTTGCCTGACTGTGGCAGCCATTGTTCATATTCTTGGAGCCAAATGTTTGTAATAACTGCATTTTCATTTCCCCCAAATTGTTTAAAAGCAAGCAGTGTTTTTCCTCTTCCCTCACCTCCATAAAATACAAGGAGTGATACATCCTACAGCTCCCTACCTGCCCACAAGCAGGCTGAAGAAGGCAGACACAAACAAAAGCAGCCAGCAGTGACTGTAGTAACATGCTTCAAGAGCATACCAAGGTGTGGATAGATGATGATTTGGTCATGTCTGTTTTATAAAATTGCCCCGTGCAGATCAAAATAGCCTTCTAGATTAAAAAATTGCAGATTTGTAACTTGCTTCAACCCAATTGCTCATACAATGCAACTAACATGGACAAAATACTTGCTATGCCATCAGCTGCCTTTTCACGTGAAGCAAAGCCTCTTTGCATGAGTTTTGCCCCATGAATAGCTGTGCAGAAAGTGATGCAGGTATCACTAACCATGGGCCCATAAAACAAAAAGAAGTATGACTTACCTGGGAAATTCTGTGCTGGGGCTGCCCAGTGATCCCAGAAAGGTCAGCCTTATCAGTAAATAGATCCATGATTCCCATTTTATATAAGATATCTTTTAGGTTGTATGTCCCATAAAGCGTGAATTTCGGAAGATACAAATTTACTGAGCTGCCAGAAAAGAAATGCGAGAAAACAGTAAAACATTTGATCAGTTATCACTGAATAACAGAGACTGATAAGAGATAAACTGAATTTGCTTTCTCCCTAAAGATATTTTGCCTGCAGCCTCTCTCTAGCCTACATAGGAGATGTAAATTTCCTGAAGTTAGTGATCTCTTTTGCAATCTGCTGGAAGCACCTTCATTATGAGACATTACTGAGGATGCAGAGGATTAACTTTGTGAAAAATAGATTCCTTTACGTGTCTCAAGCTGAGCACAAAAATATCCAACACATTCAAGTTCACTGGTTACTTTTGGGGAAAAACAAACTGGCCTTGTGTATTTATCATATAAAACAAGACAGATAAACCAGAACTATATCCACTGAAGAATCAGGAAAATAATAAGTAGTGACAGAAGGCATGGCAAAATAAAAAACACAAGCAAATTTATGGAATATGGTTAGTCAATAGATAATTAATTTTCTGTGTCAAGACCAGAGTCTGACTTACTCAATTTTAAGTTACTAGATTGCTGCTTTCCATAAATTAACCAAAGCTCTATGTTCTTAAGTATCTTACAATTACTTTTCAAAGGTTAAACCAAACATTTACAGCTAGAAGGAACATAGTGAGACAGAGGTTAGTGATAGTGCTGATATTAGGTACTGTTTTCTGGTGAGAAACCAGGACAGCTCTCCAGGGCTTTAGGTCAGGGAGATATGGAGCACTTATTAAGCTAGCCAAGAGAAAGTTATCTGGTGGGAAGGTAAGAAGGAAAAGGCCCATATCTCCAGCACTGCACAGCATCTAATGCCAGCTCTGGCTGTATCCAAAAACAAGAGTGCTGGTGGGTTGATAACAGGTTGTTGATCTCATACTTCTCTCTGATTTCAGTCTGTGCTGATTGCTGCCCAAATGAGGATGCAGCTATCAATGAATCATCTGCCTTACTGTTACCTAAAGGCATTCCTTCACAAGCCCCCAGCTGCTTACAATACAGAGGAAAGGGAAAGCCACAGACACACCGTAGCAATGCAGCCAGGAAAGGAGCAGTGGGACACACTTTCCAGAAGTGAAAGTGGCCTTTTCTCTATAGTTCATTTAGCCATTTAAAAGACCTCAGCTGTCTCTACTGGTGACACTTCAGCACTATTCACTTTGTCAGCCCCAGAAATGAAAGATGGCCCTCACAACACTTCTGCCACTAATATCAACATCAATTTTCAGACAAAGAAAGGACAAACACAGGTAGTCCACAGCCTTTAAATGACTCCATATAATACTTTCATTTATTAAGGCCTCCCAGAAACTCCAAATAATAGCAGATGCAATAAATTGTTTTAAAGATTAAGGGAAAAGGAGGCATTTATGTCATTATTTTGTAGGAGATTTTTTATTTTGTAGGTTATGATGAAAAATGGGGAGCAGCATGAAACAAACTTGTCTTTGACTGTGATTTTTTTTCATAATTTAAGATGGAGAGGGGAAATAAAAATTCCTCCAATTGTATTTAGCATTTGTCTTGATAATTGTAAAGGCAATTTGTTTCTTTGGCAAAAATTATACATTAGTATCTTGATTCACCATCTTATTTTTCCTGTAGTTACAAACCCCATAGCTACTCCCAGAAGATTCAAAACTGTAAAGGTGCACAGAGAATTACATACATTTTTGTTGGTGTTTTTTTGGGGGGGTGGGAGGATTTGGTTTGGTTTTTTTGTTTTAATTTGTTTTATTTTTTTCACATATGAAAAAGAGGTTAGATTCTTTCTTTTCTATTTAACAGTGAATCTGAGTTATGAGCATGAAACAAGTTTTAGGTTCCTGCATTTCAGATGTAATTTTTGTCTTGAGAGTGGACCATCTGTACCATGATTTTCAAGTGTCTGTGTGACACTAATGTGACACATCAAATTAATGGATGAATACAAGGGCTTGATATTGTAAACATGTTGTACCTATTCTTGTATACGTATTTTGTGAAAGGCTATTGCCATACATGACACTAAATGTAAGGACTTTATTATTTTTGAAAGCGTATAAACTTTATGCCTTCTAGTCTCAAAGCTACCATTAATTGAGTGTACATTACTCCAATTTTGCCTAAGTCCTCAGAAAGCCTCAAATTTGCCTAAGCCTCAGAAAATACCTTTATCAGTGAGCTTTGCCCTCACAATTACTGAATGGAAGTAGTTATTTCAGCGTTAACTGTACAATAACTGCTAATTTTAATAGGCAGAAATTAGGAAAGAGACAAGGAAAAAGGCTAAAGTGATAGAAATTTATTGTAAATAGAAGGCCTCCCCCAAAAAAAGGCAGGTCTAAATCAAAAAACTTGGGCCTATTGATAGCAGAAGATGGGAAACAAAATACAGAAATAACACAAGTCCTAATCTGTGAAGGCTTTCAGTGCATGCAGTACTGAATGTGAAAGCACATGGACACTAAAGAGCCAGATTCAACTTTGGTCAGGGGATTTCTTCTACTGATTAAAGTAGAACTTAAAATGGCATGCTGACTGTGTGTCATAACCCAGCACATTTGTTTCCTTGGCAACCATCTGAAAGGAGAACAGCAGAATTTTACCTTTTTGTGACTAATGTCCTCCACCTGGACAAACGTTCACAAGACAATCTTTTCTCCAGCTTCCTCATTCTTCCTCTATCAGGCAGAATAAAAAATGCTGAAGCACCTCCTTTGTAATCCATTTGCACAATAGTGGAAGACAGCTGCTCATCATAGCCATGCTTGAACAGGCCCATTCCAAACATCATTGGGACTTCAACTGCCTTGCTCCCATCCACAAAAAATTTGCTCATTTTAGTGTACTTTGGATCAAAAGGCTTTTCCCATTCAGCTTGAAATATAAGAGACAGAGTTACGGGATATTTTGAGGACATAAAACCATACAACATATTAACATAGGACACATTCTTAGATGACAGAAACTGGCACAGTTGGATCAGCTTCAAAGACAAACCAATTTGCAATGATCACTTGATCATACTAAATGCCCAGAATAATTCAATAGCAACACACTGTTGGTGGAATGTGATGTAAAAACACTCCCTTAGATCTTACAGCAGACTGCAAAATCCTTCATGTAGATGAGTTATCAAGGGTTCTAACTTGCACTTTTCCTCCACAATAGCAGTTTTGAGGAGCCTGTAAAGTCCTCATATAACTCAGATTTTATCTAAGCCCAAAAGAAGATTCTCTCATTTTCTTATTCCCAGACCAAAATATGATTGTGAAGGGTAACATGAGGGATGAATTCTTCAACGAAATTAAGGGATTTGGGTTACTTGCAGAGAGGTGTTGATACCTCACATTAGCTGATGATGTATAGAGTCATAAAGAACTTAATTTTATGAGACTGCTGAGTTAAGAAACAAAACAGCAACAGCAGAAACCTTTTCAAATGTCATCTTCACCATATTAAATTTTCAAAGGTTTCTCACTTAGTCATGGTGAAGCAAACCATCTGCATTGAAACTCTGAAAGATTCTTATCCTCAGTGGAGAGGAATTTCAAAGCTAAATTCTAGGTACACACATCATATATTTCAGAAGCTGAGAAAATTTTTTAAAAAGGGGAGAATTGTGGAGTTTTGGAAAGTTTTTTTGTTGTTTTTAGTTATTTATTTATATATATATATTTTAAAATCTTGTTGCTCTGTAGTAAATTTTTCCCTCTAGAACAAAACTAACATTTATCAAATGTAATGGGCAAAATCTGAGCATTGACTCCAAGTAAAATAAATGGCATCAAGAAAACCATGAAACAAGGTGCAACCCCTTTTGACTTCTGATTTCTATTTGAACACTGATTACTAGGCAACTTGTTACAAATGAAATAATTATCATCTGCTGTTTTCACTATCTGACTTAGCCTGCACTACTAAACAGCTTTTGAAAAAGTGAAATGAGACTTCTTCCTTGCATGTCTTGGTCTCTAAAATCATAGATTGACAACTACAATAATCTGAACAGGGAAAAATGCTACCTTTATATATTTCATATACTTTTACATACTTCATTAGTAGTGACTTCTATCATCAGATATATAACACACAGGACTTTTACATTATTATGCTTAAGGGGAAAAAAAAGCAGAATGAATAACAGAAACATGAATGACACCAGTCCTGAAAAACTTTAACAACATTTATCAATTGATTTCAAGAAGAACTTTGCTTGAAAACTGTTAGGACCTCTACTCTGGGCTTCAGGAGAGCAAACTTTGGCCTCTTCAGAGATCTGCTTGGGATACAGCCATGGAGGGAAGAGGGCCCCAAAAAAGCTGGTTTGTCACAACAATCTCATGCTGCTCTACAGGCTGGGGCAGAGTGGTTGGAAAGTGTCCAGAAAGTGGCCTTATGGGAAAGAACCTGGGGGTGTTGGTCAATGGCAGCAGCTGAACATGAGCCAGCTGTGCCCAGGTGGCCAGGAAGGCCAATGGCATCCTGGCCTGTGCCAGCAGTAGTGTGGCCAGCAGGAGCAGGGCAGGGATTGTCCCCCTGTACTCAGCACTGGTGAGACCACAACTCGAGACCTGTGTCCAGTTTTGGGCCCCTCACAATGAGAAAGACATTGAAGTGCTGGAGCATTGAGGCAACAGAGCTGGGGAAGAGTCAGTCATATGAGGAACAGCTGAGGGGGCTGGGGTTTTTTAGGCTGGAGAAAAGGAGGCTGTAGTGGGGAACACCATTGCTCTCTACAACTGCCAGAAAGGAGTCTGTAGCCAGGTCAGGGTCAGTCTCCTCTTCCAGGCAACAAGTGATAGGACAAGAGGAAATGTCCTCAAGCTATTTTAGGGGAAGTTGAGGCTGGACATCAGGAAGAATTTTTTCACTGAAGGGGTTGTCAAATATTTTAACAGGCTGCCCAGGGATATGGTAGATTCATGATCACTGGAAATGTTCAGGAAATTACTGGACTTGTCACTTGCACTTGACACTATTTGCACTGAGTATTTACTATATAATATTGGAGATACTGGAGGTCTTTTCCAACCTTAATGGTTCTATGATTCTATTAATATTCAAGGATGACCTCCACCAAGTACAGGAGTGATCTTCCTAAGAAGTTGGGTAAAAATGCCAGGGGGCCTGTGAGGATGAAGAAGGAGTTCTTTGGTGATCTCATACACAAACAGGTGGCCTACAGAGGGTGGAAGCAAGGACAGGTAACCTGGGAGATATAAAAAGAGATTTTCTGAGTCTCCAGGGATTAGGTTAGGAAAGTTAAAGGTGTGATAGAATTCAGTCTGGCCAGGGACATTGAGGGCAACAAGAAAAGCTTCTATAGGTAAGACAATGGTAAAAGGAAGACTAGGGAAGATGTGAACCCCCTCCAGAAAGAAATGGGAAACCTGGTTACCCAGAACATGGACAAGGCTGAAGGTAATCAATGACATTTTTTGCCACAATCTTTACTGGCAAGTGCAGGAACTGGGAGATTGAGAAACTGTCCACTGTAGAAGATCAAGACCACGTGAAGAAACTTAAGATGAACTTGTTCATGGGACCTGATAGAATGTATCTGCAGACCCTGAGGGAAATAGATGGAACATCTAAACCATTATCGGTCACATTGGAGAATGATGGCAGTCCAGTGAAATTCCCACTGACTGAAGAAGAGAAATGAGAGCTCTCACTTTTGAAAAATTAAGAAAAGGGAGACCCAGGAAACTACCAGTCTTTCTCACCTCTTTGAGTGGCAAGATTATGGAGCAGATCCTCCTGGAAACTATGCTAAGACACATGAAAAATTAGGAAGTTATTGGTGACAGACAACATGACTTCACTAAGGGTAATTTGTGGTAAAGGAAGAGAAATTGGTGTCATCTGCCTGGAGCTGTGCAAAGCATTTCACACTGTCCTGCATGACACCCTTGACTCTAAACTGGAGAGATGGGTGTGACAGATGACCTACTCAATGGATAAGGAATTGTCTGGATGTTTGCATTTGAAGGCTTGCAGTCTTGTTGTCCAAGAGGAGATCAGGGATGACCAGTGCTCCTTGGAGGTTGGTATTAGGACCAGTGCTGCTCAATATCTTTGTTGGTGAAGTGAACAGTGGAATTGAGTGCACCCTCAGAAAGCTAGCCAGTGACACCACAATGATGTCATTCTGTTGACATGCTGTAAGGAAAGGATGCCCTCCAGAGGGAAGGGATACCACCCAGACAGAAAGGGTGCCATCCAGGGAGAGTGAGACAGGCTTGAGAGGCCCCATTAGAATGTCATGAAGTTCAACAAGGCCAAGTACAAGGTCCTGCATGTGGGCTGGGGCAATCTCAAGCATAAATACAAGCTGGGGAAAAAGTGCATTGAGTTGAAAGCAGACCTGAAGAGAAGGACTTGGGACTGTTTGTTGAAGAGAATCTCAACCTGGCACAGCAATGTGTGCTTGCAGCCCAGAGAGCCAAACAGATGCTGAGCTGAATCACAAAAATTGTGGCAAGCTCCACTTGTGCTTCACTCTGGCAAGATTCTGCCTGGAGTTCTGCACTCAGCTCTAGTGTCTCCAATAAAAGAAGGATGTGGACCTGTTGGAGTAACTCCAGAGGAGGGCCATGAAAATGATCAGAGGGCTGGAGTTCCTCTCCTATGAAGACTGAGAGAGTTGGGGCTGTTCAGCCTGGGAAGAGAAGGATCCAAGGAGACCTTAGAGTTCATCCAGTGCCTAAAGGGGGTCTATAGAGGGGGAAAGATTTTTTATACAAGCAGATAGTGATAGGACAAAGGTGAATGACTTTAAATGGAAAGAGGGAAAATTTAAATTTAGATTAGATATAAGGAAGAAATCCTTCACTATGAGGGTGGTGAGGCTGGAATAGAGAAATTGTAGATTTGATCCCTGGCAGTGATCAAGGCCAGGTTGGAAAGTTCTTTGAGCACTCCAGTGTAGTAGAAGATGTCCCTGCCCATCACAGAGGGGTTGGAACTAGATGATCATTAGGGTCCCAAATCAAGACTATCAGTTAGCACACAGATTAGACAGAGATGATATTCATTAATACTTCCCTCATATTTCAAGGGCACTCTTATTCCTGTTCTCACTTCTGTCTTAGGGGGATACCTTCCAGGCACCTTCCTCAAGTGCTTCACAGTGCTCAAGCGGCAAAATGAAATTTGAAGTATTCTTTGCTTTACCAGCTTGACTAAGGCATGAAAAGGGATTGATGTAATATGTGGAATAACATGTCTTGTAGGTCAGATTCAGGAAAATATGGTCAGACTTTTGTCCTTGAAGAAGGAATTCTGTACTGTGCTACACCACTAAAAAAAGTCACTAGTAATGTGCAAGAAAGCAATGCACAAAAAGAGGACAAGCACCTAAAAGACTAGTTATACAGCTAAGTAAGGTTTAGAAATCCTCTCCAGATTAATCCCAACTCTAGATAATTAACCTACTCTTGATTTCAAGATTTTAAAAAATGTTATTATTGCGATTAATGCTGTTCTTTAATCCATTTGTTTTAAAATTGGAGAGCTAAAACTGAAAATCCACCACCTTGAAAAGAGTTAGGAAATCTTTGCAAAAATAAACTGGAAACCTCAATAAACCCTTATTGTTAGAACATGTAAAAGTTAACTGTAATACAAAATTATCTTTAATACAAGATTTCTTGGGCTTTTGTCCCCATTGTGATACTAAATTTATTGCTCATTCTTCAAATAGCTTTCAGTAAAAGAAAAATCAACAGGTATTTTGCCTGTTCTGAAAGATGTACCTGATGCTTAATAAAAGCCTAAATTAAAACATTATTTGAGATAAACAGGTAGTTTAAGTAACATCAATCATCTGTACTTCAATCAGCTACATTTGGTTGTGGCCAAATCTTCAGACATTAATACAAGGAGCAGAGATGAAGATGGAAGGCAAAACAAAACAGAAATAGAGTTCTTAATTATTTTCAGGGGAAGCCTCATATTGGAAAGTGCAAGCATCCAGGTAAACAGTTCTAAAGGAGAGCTTTCCTTTTAAAAAATTGCCTAATAGGCCATCTCCTTTTCAATTAAAAAGCTTGAAGATATTTTTATCAGATAAATTACAGAATATTATTTTTCTGACTACAAATACTTCGCTTTCAGCATATAATCAGAAAGAGAGAGAAAGTTTGAAATAAGATGCAATATCTGTTATTAGACCACTGATTGAGCCTTACAGCCTTGATCCTCTTCTTCTCATTAGATCAGAAGTCTGAAAAGCTCTGGGAAGATCTGAAGACTGTATATAAGCAGACTGCACAAGTTAATTAAGAAAAACAAGCTTATTGTCAATAGGCTTGTATTTGATACTGGTGGGTCCGTCTCTTCACTGGAAAATATTAGAATCTGCAAATCAAAAAAAAAGGTTGAAAACTAAGCCTCTAGACACACCAGGACTACAGATATGCTATTGGCAAAGGCACAGTTAGTGAAAAAAATAAGGAGAATATGAATGCAAAAGTAAAGCTATTGTAACATATTTAGTTTTGAACACATACACAGTAACAGCAAAGCTGTTGTCTAAACATATTTTCTGTTTGATAAGATGCTAAGTTTTCCTTTAATAGCATTCTTCACGTTTAACTCTGAACTTGCTGAACAAAACAAACCAGCTGGATTGAAATTCACAGAAATGGATTTCAGCCAAGCATTCAAAAAACTGCTTGAATCCCAGTAGATTGTATAGAATTAGATGTTTTACTGCCTAGAGATGCCTTCCTCAGCATATATTTAACTTAATTTTCTGAAGGAAAGAAGTTTATATATTAAAAGATATAGGAAAATTTGCCATACATTTTGCTAGGAGTTGTCAGTGTCAAGTAGAACATTATTTCAAATAGCTTTGTTTCTAATTAAATATAAGTGAGGACCAAAAGGAAAACAAGATATGAGCCCATCTGCAAAACCATACAGCAAAAAAAAGATGAAGTCCAAGACTGACCTGAGGAAATAATTTATGGAGTAGAAGAACATGATATGTATATCTTACCGTTAAAATAAATATAGCTAATAAGGAGAATTTCAGTGAGTGGATCTAGGTTATTTATGAGGTCCTTGATTTTTCCATTTGTTCTTCTTGCTACATATTCATTGATCTTAAGCTGGGCTTGATCAGCCTTCTTGAAGTTCATAGGATAAGCTTCTCCTTCATAGAAGTTTCTGAGATTACTTAAAAATTTTTCTTGTGGCTTCAGTTGATCAAGCACAAACAGAACATTTCCCATATTCAGCTGTAACCCCCCATTCCTTCTGTTTACCATTTGCATGAGTTGACGATAACCTTCATGTATGTCATTTTCAGAAATCTGACGTGGGTTAAAGCAAAGGACCCTAAGAATCTGTGTCAGGGTGTCTGACCTGGCACCCAGAGTCAGCATTGCAAAGGCGGTAGAGATGCTCAAAGGAGAGAAAAAAACATTCCGATTGTTTTCACGAGAAGAAATCTCTTTGTAGAAACAACATGCAAATTGACAAACACTGTTCCTTACACTCTGCCATGGCATGTTTCGGTTTTCTTGCACTCTTTGATTCTGGTTTCTTACCCCTTGTTGATAAAGCTCATAGCAATAACTGTTGGAATGGATTCCAACAAGTAAAAGACACAGGAAAAGCAACATCTTCATATTTCTGTGATTCTGTAATAGAAGAAAAGTTACATTTGGCTTACAAATCTTTTCACCTTGTGTTTAGCAATACATCAATCCCTTCACTTTGTAAAGCTAGCTTATCATCAGTGACTCTGAGATGCTTGAATTGAGGGAAAATGAGCTTTCTATTTCAAGGAAGCAGACTCTGGAAAATTACTCAACCTACTGAAGAGGTTATGAAATAATGAAAATTAAAGTCCAAGAGGGATGAGGTAATTCCAAAGACGCCCTCATTAAAGTTTAGCTACAATTAATTTTAAACTGTTTTTTTTTCTCCAATATTGTTTTCAGTGTGGCTTTAAGTGATGGAAGAGTCAAAAGTACAGGTTTACAGAGCAGAAAGCAAGGGAGACAGACAAGACTAATCAGGTAAATTTGGACATTAAACTGATGAAAAATCAAAGAAGAAGAAAGGCCCAATATACCTCTTTTGTGAAAATTAAAACACATATTTTTGAATGGGCTGCATGTAAATCCATATGCAGGCACCTCAGAGAAAGTAAATGCATTTGTTAATGAGGAAGTGATGAATATTTATGGTGATTCCATAAAAGTTGAACAGTTGAGCACAACTAAAATAAAATAACTTCCACAAAAACAACAAAAGAAAGAAATAGCAATTAGGATGTTATGAAAGCCCTGGGAATACAGTGCTGCTTATAAAGAAAGGGATAATGGATATCTGCTTAGAACAACAAAAGGAAGTGTGCCTGCTGCATGCAAAGGCATGCCCAGCCCAGTGACTGAATCAAACCACCTAAAAATAAAAATTTAAAAAAACCCCAAAAAGTAGACAAATGTTAGAGCAATCACTGTCTTTATCATCAGAAAGACAGAAAAGGATGATTTGGAAGAGAAGCCTGCAATGGTTGGAAGTGAAGATGAGTGAGTGAATTCTCGAGGAACAAAGACATGAAAAAATATAGATAGAACAGGAAAACCTTTTCCAGAGCAACATGAAAACCATTCATTCCACATCTATGGTAATACTTTTACTTCTAGAAATTAATACTGTATCACAATTGGTTCAATAGCTTCTCTCAATAGAGAGAAGTAAAGATGTGGAATATCTGGAAATCCAAAACATCCTCCTGTGGTATGTGATCATTTGACCTATGGAACCTTTTATAAAACAGTTCTCTCTAGGGGAAAAATATCTGTTCTTGACTCACACTGAGAAATGCAGCTTCTGCCCTGTAAAAGCTCTGAATCCTTATAAGGCCCCACCATGATCCCACCTTTGTGTTCTCCACTTTCCATCATTTTGTTTCTCCAAAACCCAGTGAACTCAGGACGCTGATCTCAGCTTTAGTAACACATGCTCTAAATATTTCTTAATTTACACTCTCAATATCGTGGTCATAGAAATACTACTATCTCTGAAGTATCTCAAGGGCCTAAACCCCATGACAAATCACTTTCAGACCGCACGCTTTCAAATCTAGAACACGTTTAAATTTAAGTACTGATTTGTTTGCAACTTCTTCCACCATCACTCTTACCCTAATTCTTTTAGCCACAGTTTCTTTTTTTTAAGCTCTCTAGGTGCTTTAGAGGGCAATCCTTAAATTCCCACTTCCATTTCATTTCATGCCCTACATTTATTATTATCATTAATTTACTTAATTTAAAACACTTAAAATGCAGTTTTCCTAAGGAGAGTCACACCTCATGAATATGCCAGTCTCACAGAGAACTAATTTTTCTCTTTAAAAAACCCCAAAAATATAATGAAACAACACATGAAACTTTAAGCCAAAACTTGAATACGAACATAATAATTTCTCAATTGATTATTCAAAAACCCTGAATATAATGTTTGATAATTTTTCCACATTAAAAAAACCCCAAAACATTACTTACAGTGAATTCAAAAATCCTGTTGTATTCACCAGGTCTGCACGGGTCCTTGCTCAGTTGTTTATGCTGCTGAATACAAAGCAGGGTATCCTCTAGTAAAGGTTAAGATCATCTAAGGGCTGTGACTCACACATTATAATTTTAGAGATTAGTATGATGTCGAAACTAGTTTTACTGGACACTTAACTTTACTGAATATGTTTCACACATGACTTCTTATTATTCATGACTATCTGATCACTCTGGCTAGATTCAAACTCATTTTCCTCAGACTGAACCTACTGTTTCTTAACATCAAACATTCATACACATCTCAGTTGCCTGAATCTACTATTTTATGAACTAGTTACCAGAAGTAGTAACTACAGATTAATATTTTGAACATAATTTACATAATTTCCAATAACATTGCTGCCACTAAGGCAGAAGGACAAGGCTTGATGCACCAAGACAATCTGAATTTTTATGATCTACCATGCTTTGACTCCTGCATATCCACGGCTGGGGTTGATTGTCTCCAGGTGAAGCCAGTGATGATTGTAATAGGTGCAGGGTTTAAAAAACTGTTGTGCTACACTAGCAAATGCTGTCAGATGTGTACCTGGCTATCCACTCCCAGATTGGGAATCCACTGGCAGTAAGGGTTGTGATATTGACTCCTGGGCCACTTGTATGGGCCCTGTGCCTAGAGAAGAAGAATGTGGCTGGGATGCCATGGAACTCAGGTGATCACAGTTACAAGCTTGGCCTGGGGACAGGGGGTGGAAGCTGAGGAACATGGGTGTTAAATAGAACAAGTCTTTAGATCAGCTTACTATTTTATAATCTGGGATGAGAGGAGCAATCTCCTCTGATGGTGTGCCAAGTTCAGCTGGGTCAGATCAGACAGGCTGGTATCCTGGTACCCAGGAGTAGAGACAGCTCTACTCCTGGGTGCAGAATGACTGAAGCATCATGGAAGGCAGCTCTGGGGACCACACAGTTGAAACCCTTGCTCAAACCAGGTCATACACATTGGGTTGCTCAGGATGGTGTCCTGCTGGGTTTTGACTCCCTCAGCAATGAGACTCCACAGGTTCTCTGGGCAATCTCTTTATTGCAGTCTTTGACAGCACTGACACTAAAACTGACTAGCAGGTTTTCTGTACATTTAAATGGAACTTCTTGTATTTTAATTTGTGCTCATTGCCTCTTGTCACTAGATGCCACTGAGCAGAGGCTATCTCTGTCTTTACTCATTTCATCAAAAATTGGGTGATTATACATTGTTGAGACCTACACAGGTCTCTTTTTATCTGGGCTAAACATTACTAGCCTTCACTCTTTTAGCCTCTCCTCATATGTCAGATGCTGCAATATTTCAATGACCATTGAAATATGAGTATCACCAATGAATAGCACTCTAATGGACTTATTCCGGTATGTCCATGTCCTCCTTGCACTGTGGAGCCCAGCAATGGTTGCAACTCTCCAGATGTGTATGGCAGGGGTGAGTAAAGAATAAGGATTGCTTCTGGTGACCTGCTGGCAATGCTTTTCTTAATACAGCTCAAGTACACGGAACTACAGACTAGAAGAATAATGGAATGGTTTGAGCTGGAAGGGACCTCAAATATCATCTATTTGCAAGGCCCCTGCCATGGGCAAGGATACCTTCCACTAGACCAGGTTGGTCAAAGCCCCATCAAACCTCACCTTGAACACTTCCAGGGATGGGGCACCCACAGTTTCTGTTTCAATATCTGTCTAGTCTCACAGTGAAGAATTTCTTGCTTATATCTAATCTAAATCTACTGTCCTTCTGTTTAAGGCCTTGTTCTATCACTTTGTAAAAAGCTCCTCTGCAGCTCTCCTGCAGGACCCTTTTGGGTATTAGAAGGCCACAATAAGGTCACCATGGAGCCTTCTCCAGGCTGAACAAGCCCAACTCCTCCAGCCTGTTTTTGCAGGAGAGATGTCTTTGCAGGAGACATCCAAGTCCTCTGATCATATCTGTGGACAGGTTCTCTTCTGGACAGATGTGCATCCTTCTTGTCTGGGGGACCCCAGAGCTGGATGCAGCACTGCAGGTGGGGTATCATGAGGGAAGAATAGAGGAGCAGAATCCTCTCCTTTGCCCTGCTGCCCACGCTGCTTTGGATGCAGCCCAGGACACATCTGGCTCTCTGGGCTGTGAGTGCACATTGCTGGGTCATGTCCAACCTCTCATCCATCAGCACCCCAAAATCCTTCTCAGCAGCTCTGCTCTGATCTCTTCATCCCCAGCCTGTGTTGGTACTGGGGGTGGTCCTGACCCAGATGCAGCAGCTTGCACTTGGTCTTGTTAAACCACATGGGATTCCCATGGGCCCACTGCTTGAGCTTGTCCTGGTCCCCATGGATGGCATCCATCCTTCAGGCATGGCAAATGCACCACTCTGCTTGGTGGAGCTTGCATTTCCTGCAAGCACTTACTGCTGTCTCCTGGTCTACCAGGAGCCTCCGATCCCCATGCACAGCATCTCTCTTTCTAAAATTAGGGTAATATTTTCTCTCATTTTCCCTTCAAAATGCAACCATTTTCAGGGAGGGACCAACCCTTACTACACACAAATAGAGTGCTGATCTCAATGCTGTTTCTAAGGACAATTGAAATACTAAGCCTAATAATAATTCAGCAATATTTTCTGTGGGGCAAAGATACAGCCAGTGAAAGTTGTTGATGATATGACCTATCAAGAGGCTCAACAGATTGCAGAAAACCCCTTAAACAAGTTGCTTATGAGGTAAAACTTAAGAAATAGGCAGCTTTGAGGCAGGATGCTGGACTCACACATAGTATGTTCTTCACACACACCACTCACCTGAAGGAGTACTTGAGATACTATTTTCACTGCTTCTTATATAAATAAGAGCAAAGAATCTTGCTTAGAGCTGGCTTTTAATAATGGGCTGCAGTTTTCATGGTATATAAAAACTGATTTCTGATGAAGGAAGGAAGCCCAATTAAATACAGACGCCATGCTAATGACAAGGTGACG